CTAATGTAAATGACGAGTTAATGGGTGCAGCACACCAACATGGCACATGTATACATATGTAACAAACCTGCACATTGTGCACATGTACCCTAGAACTTAAAGTATAATAATAATAAAAAAGATTAAACAAATCATTACAAAACAAAAAGGCATTTCACAGTGAAAAAAAAAAATAAAGTCAGTGGGTTGGGGAGGAGGATGGGGGCAGGAAGAAAAATAAAGCCTCAGAAAAGAAGTTGGGAAATCCACTCCTCTCCTTATCTATAGTTCCTTGAAACCTGTTCTGCAGACCCAGGCTTTCCTTACAGCAAGTAGCCTGGGTGTGACAGTGGCCTTATCAATCACAGGGCAGAAGCGTGGCAGTTCAGCTAGTTAATTCAACCCTGAAAATGAGAGAATACATGTATCTATATTACATAGATAGCTAGCTAGCTATGGTCTGACTGTGTCCCCACCCAAATCTCATCTTGAATTGTAGTTCCCATAATCCTCATGTGTCATGGGAGGGACCAGATGGAGATAATTGAATCATGGGGGAAGTTTTCCCCATACTGTTCTCATGATAATGAGTGAGTTCTTACAAGATCTGATGGTTTTATAAGGGGCTTCCCCCTTCACTGGGCACTCATTTTTCTCCTTCCTGCCATCATGTGAAGAAGGGTGTGTTTTGCTTCCCCTTCAGCCATAATTGTAAGTTTCCTGAGGCCTCTCCAGCCATGCTGAACTGTGAGTCAATTAAACCTCTTTCCTTTATAAATTAGCCAGTCTCAGACACGTCTTTACTAGCAGCATGAGAATGGACTAATACATATATGAATACATACTCTCTCTCTATCTATAAATACATATATATATGTGTGTGTGTGTATATATATATATTATTATTTTCTTCTCAATAGTGTGCTAGGGAAGAGATCTAAAGGTATGGGCTTGGCACACTACCTGAGCATCTCACCCTCAGTAGGAACCACTTAAGCCTAGGTTAAGATTATTCTAAGGGTTCTGAAATATTCCCAGAGATGCTGGGCTTCTACTTCTGACAAGGTGAGACATCTGCTGAGGGAGGAAGAGGGGCTTAGGCTTTGGATTCAGATAGGCTGTTTTCTCGTTCTGGATTTTGCTGCTGGCCAGCTGTGAGACATAAGGTAGATTGTACAACCTCTCTAAGCCTCAGTCTTTTAAATCTGAACAATTGGAGACTGTAAGACATACCACCTAGACTTTCTGTGAGAATTAGGTGATGACCTAGGCAAAGTGCTTAGCACAACATTCAGCACTAGAGATGCACAATGACTACGGTTTAAAACGTGTGTAACTTTGTATTCAAGTTTTCACTG